GATCCGCCTACAATGTCCGATGAAGACGGGGGGTATGAAGAATGGCAGTACAATCCGCCTGCCGGTCATCCCTATTGCCAGAACTGTTTGAGAAGATACAGCGAACACTATTGCACAGAGCGGGATCTCTGCTTCTCAAAGAAAATCACACCTCCCTTCATGATCTATTTTGTCATCAATTTATTCATTCGAAATGTCTTTATTTAGTTATTACAAACGTTTTCAGATTGTTGTCAGGACTAATTCATTGCTTAATTATTTGATAAATCTCTGATGATAATTTATAAAAATTGATAGAAATTAAGCGTTTTAAGCCGCTTTAAGCGCTTTATGATTCATTGATCTTAAAATGCTGATAGTCACCCATATATGTATATAGGTGCAATATATGTATACTAATTGTAATTGCAAAATTCCGTAATTTTGGCATAATTTTACACCAAATTACATAGTTTGTAATGTCAAATCAAAATTCTTCAAACTCAAAAGTGACTCAAAAACTGTTCAGTAAAGTTCGAAGCTTACCAAAGTTCAGCAGTTAGTGTCAATCAATTATGATTTTAGTATAATAAATTATCAAATATTTCAACTCATGTGAGTAGGTGATTTCGCACTGTTTGGGATTTGACCTCTCCTCACCCAAAGGGTTCCCCTTTTGATAGAATTTAATGGCATCCACTTTGGACCGACACTAAAATTTTTCTAAAGGAGCCTTTGGTGCCAAATGTATACTAAATTTGGGGTGGGGTGCAATTTTTGGTCAAAATTTTCCCAAAACGGTGTTTTGGCCAGTTTTTTTTACAAGTTTGGCTCTGCTGCAGAAAATTGCAAATTAGAAGTCTTTCGAATAGCCCGAAAATCAGTTTGGCCGAAAAACTCAGCTCCTCTAAAAAGTTTAGACCCGCTCTTGCACTCTTAAAAATCAAGATATGAGTTGCCATGTGATAAGACTATAAAACCAAATTAAAACTCATTGAACTCATTTTTTATGATCTACTGTTTAGACAGTTCAGTGACAGTTCGTTGTTAGAATTTTAATTGAAAAAAAAAACTGATCGGAAAAAAATCAATTTTTATTGCTGAATTTTCTAGAAGAAAAATTTGCATTAAAGATAGCACGAGAGGTGTCCGGCACATATGACCACAGGGCATTAAGACGAGAACCGATTTTATGGGACTTTAGGACGACGCTACACCCGTTTCTGAGAATTTTAAACCACTTAACTTCGAACTGCTTATTTTACATTTTGTAAAACTTATTTGTCGTCTTAATGTTTTGTTGTCTTATTGGACTGTCGTTTTTTTACCTTGCAACAGAAAAAGTTTTTAAAGTTCTTCGTATATTTCAGGGAAAAATCAGTCTCATAAAAAAAAAACAATTTATCCACGTTGGAGGGGGAAATTAAAAAATCTGGTATGTGGTTGTCTTCTATATTCTGAAAAATAATTATATCCAAGAAGAACTAATTATTCTTTCCAGTCTTTGCAGTTTTTTTGGATTTTCAGATAGCTTTCAATAAAAATCGCTTGGGATAGAGAATGATATTCTTTTTTTGATGCTGCTATATTAAAACATAGCGAGGAGAAAATTGCAAAGTATCGATGAGAACAAAAATTATCGAGAAATCTCTGATATGGTTCGAATTTTGTCATTCGAGAAGTTTAAAGAGATTTAAATTTTTTGAAGTTTCAAGAAAATTCTATGGTTGGCCTTGAAACTTTTTGAAAATTTTTGAGAGTATTTTCATTGAAACTAAACCAACCGGATCGATATTTAAAAATTTTTCCGCCGAGAAATCTATTAAAAAACTTTTATGAAGCTAAAATTAATTACACTTTTACCCATGATTTGCATTTTTTTATTGGAAAGCATAAGCTGCTTTCATTTTAACAGAAAATGTTTTTTTTTTTCAACAGAAACCAAAAGACTTCAGTAAGAAGTGGTTGATCAGTTCTTTCAATAACGCGTTAATCTCGAAGGATCTCAGCTTTTTTTCAGCCCAATTTACAAAGTGGATGATCTGAAATTGAACTTTAAATTGCGTGATATTTGATCTACTTGTTTCATAATAAAAGCTTTAGAAATCTGAGATAGCGATAATTAAAAATGGAAAAATGAGCGAAAATTAAAAAAATATATCATTTTGAGGCTAAGCTGTTTTTTTGTGAGCTTGAAGCGGATTCCGTAAAAAACACGCTCTTTTTGATCTTCTTTCGCTCTTGTGTCTTACACACACCAAAACCTACACACACCAAATTGTGCGCCTATCCAGTGGACAATTCAGCTTCTTAATGATGTTTTTTTTCTCAAACTATTGTCATTTGCTGAGTCCAGTTAACTTTAGTATGAGCAAACTGCCTGCTTCATTTCACTTTAATACATCGCTTACAAATCAGTAGTATGCAATATATTGCGAGTTATTTATCCAGAATGAGACAGATATTAAGATTTTTTTTTTCACATCATTGCTCGTCAGCTTATAGTAAAAATACTAGCCAAAATTAACGAGGTAAAAAGTTAAAACTTGTGTGCGAGAAAAAAACAATCTCGAGCGAAAAATTGCCGTCATTTTCTTGCTCTTTTATAACTTGACATTCTTTGAGATTGAGAACTTAAAAAACTTTCAAGTTCTTTTTTTTTCTAGCAGAAAACTAGACAAGGATTGTTTCCTCATGATTAATCGAAAACTAAATAGGAAAAGCATTCAATGTGAAGTCTTTACTAATATCTAATTCTTGCTTTTTACAGAAAAAAAATATTTTGACTACTTTTTCGAGCAATCGTTTTTCAAGTTTTTCTAATTCATTTTGCTTCGAAAAATTTGTCAACTGCAAGTTTGTTTCGTGTAAAAGGTTACAAACACCTTATTATGAAATCAAGGAAAAAGTAAAAAACTTAAAATAGAGTGAGTCATTCGAACAACACCTTCTTTTACACAGAAACTCGCGAAGCATTTTGGGCATTTTTGTTGAGAAATCGCAAACCGGAAGACAGCCTTATAAAACAGCCATGCTGTTTTTGAACCAAATTGCTGAGTTGATGCCTAAGGTTTCAGTTAATTTGTGAGATTGTTGAATATGTTTGAATACGCCAGGGTTGACCAAATCATGTTATCTTGCAATTTCCATAAAGTGAAAATTTTTTTGTCTTTTGTTTTTCAATCACAAACGTACAGAAAATTGTTTGAATTATCTATGGTGATCAGTTTTCCGTAAATAAAAGTTTCATATTTTTAAATTTTATCCAATAAATAAAATTATTTAGGTTTTGCTTTGTTTTTTTAGCGTTTTGTATTTTTGAAAAACAAAAGTCGATGTTTTTGTTAAAGCAAATCAAACAATTTATCTAAAGCGTTCAAAAAAAGTTTTAAGTAAGTTATTTTTTTTTCCTTCGAAAAAAAAAATGCTGTCTCTGCATTTTATGCTGTGCGGCAGAATGCAAAAAAAATAGTTAATTTTGTTCAGATTGTTTTTTGTTTGGTTGTCTGATAAGCTCTTTTTGATTTGAACCATTGAATCATCGCATCATTTTCTCGTTTTATAATATGGAAATCAAAAAAATCAAAAAAAGTCCAAAGGAGTTAGCGCAAAACTGTAAAGTAAAGGAAGTCGATTGCAAAGCTTGGTCTTTGTAATATGCTTGAACAAGGAGTTGTGAACAGTAAAGGTAGTTAAGGAAAATTTTCAACTAAATAATCTGAAAATTTTTCTCAAACAAACTTTTTTCAAGATCTAATTTTTTTTATATAAATGAAAAATCGTTTATATGTTATGAAGGTATTCCAAAAAACCACAGCTTTTGGCTGTTATGAGCAGTCTCTGTTCCTCTTTTTAAGAAACTGAACACTTGTTTCCGATGTGGTTTTTTCTTCATACAAATTCAGTTGTTATCTCAAACTAGTTTTAAAAAAAATCATGTGCGAGTTTTTCTTTTATGGGTTTATAACAAATTGACCAATTTTGGACATTTAATGCGCAACATATTTTCTCTATTTGTTTTTAGGCAGCATTTTAATCAAGCTCAGAAATCGTTTTAAAAAACAGGCGAGCGTTTTGGTCTTATCATTACTACTCTACACGCTTAAAAAATCAGTTTGCCGTGTAATTTACATAGCGTGCGGGAAATAAAACTTGGAAAAATTTATATATGACAATCATCAGTTATTGAAGGGCGATACAAGAATTCTTGTTGTTCCGACTTTCGATACGAAAGTAACGAAATATTTGCGCTCGGGGTGGGTTTTTTTTCTTCAGACAAATTTCGACTTTTTAACTAGCCATTTTTGACGGAATTTTTTATATCATTCAAAAGCTATTGTTGCCCTGAGCTTATATTTGAAAAGATATTTCACCTGTGATCATTTTTCGTGAAGTTATGAGGGTTTAAAGATTGCCATTTTGACCAATTTGGGACAATTAACGCGCGATATAATTCGCGCTATTAACGCGTAAGCGGAGATTTAATCCGTCTTAGAAATCGTTCCAAATTAGTTGGAAGAAGCTTATTTGCCATAATTGATTTGTTACAAGGAGCGAAATCTATCCTTTTGTACTTTATATGGCGTGTGGGGGGATGATTTTCATAAAAAATTTCAAATTTTAGAATTTTTTTTTTCCATTTTTATTACATTTTATTAAACATTAAAAGGCAGTCGGAACATTCAGGGCTTCGCCCTGATACGAGCAGTCTTGTTTGATTTTATATCTGATTGACCAAATGAATGCCCGCGGTTACGCGATTGTAGTTTAATATGCTGCAGATGGCACCAGAGTTTCAGGGGAGGATGGTAACTTGGACCTACTAGTTCATTTAGAACCACCAACTATTCAAGTCATGAAATTTCAAAACTGTGATTACAACCCAATCAAACGCTTCAAGTATTTTACAGCATCAAATTCTATTTAGTTATCCCGTTTGCTCATGAACATGATTTCTTATATGGCAGTAAAACAATAGTTGACTTAGGAATTCTAGAATACTATTTGTTATGGATCAATTTCTAGACCCTCGCCATATTTCTCAATATTCGTCACACAATATTGGCTCAAATCCATATTTGAACTCAACTTGAAAACTAATAAGCATGTCCTAACGCTAACTCTATAGAACATTATACAATTAATAATACAACAAAAACATGATTGCTGATCCCGATTTGCTGCAAACTTTGACTGATTTGTCGCCAGGTATGTATAATGGCTTTCAAAAAAGGAACACATGTTTGATATTGTAATCAAGTGGTATCAATTTTTAAAGAACATTTTTTTATTCAGCGTTTGGTTAATCCTTAAAACTAGTTTTTTTATCTAAGCAGAAACAGCTTGCTTGAAACTCAAGCAATGATTATGGTTAACTTTAATGTGCCAAATTCTCGCTCGCTTGAGTGGCAAAATAAGATTTTGACATACCCACCTCAAAGATCCACACTTTGGCTTTTACATTAGCACTGAAGATTGATATCCTTGTTTTAGACCAAGGCGCGTCTCAGGCAAGCATTGACATGATTGTGGCCTACTCTGACAAATTCACAGTAGACGTGGTATGATAAATTCAAATGTACACCAAATTTTCGATTCTTTTTGAGATTATAGTTTTCTGAGACAACTATAATCTCAAAAAATCCGATAGAGTGAGTATGTTTTTATGGTGGTAGGTCAGTAAACCGATAATGGGCAGGCCAGATCAGTCACTGAAAACTCCGTCATTCATGATTCAATTACGCAATCACATCAGCCAAAAACTGAGGCTTCTGCAATATAACAAGTTGAATCAAAAAAAGAAATAACTCATGAGACCCGAAATTTTCTTCTAGCCTAGGGTTAATTTATTGTATAATCTTTAATTCCGCATTTGATATAATTATTACGTAATTCGGCTGACTGATCTGGTAATTTACTGCCACATCGGTTGACTGTACGCACCAGTTTATTTCGGAAAATTTGAAATATTTGCAATTTTTAGGAATTCCACCGTTTGTTTTTCTTGAAAGAGCTTGAGTTCAAATTCAACTTCCTCGAATCACAACGTCTCCAGGCTCAAAACCAGTTCGACATTTTAAGCGCACGCGCTATTGACAACTCGGACGCAATTTTCGAACGGCTGCTGAAACGGAAAATAAAAGAGTTGAACAACCTTTCGCGTGAAATAATAATGATCGACAACTTATTGAACAACTTCGGTATAACACGAAAGTTGCGAAACAATCACAGTTACTTGAATTCGGCTCTTCAATCGCTTTCGGATGATGACGTAAATTGTTGTATAACATACGAGCCCGACTCGAATGAGTCATCGCCTACAAGTTCCATGGAAGAAAGACGGAGTACGAGTAACTCTACTCACTCGGTAAGCGACCGGCAGAGACCCCGAATGAATGCCAGCAGATTTCGAGAACTGCGCATGCGAAGCCGAAGAAAAGAAATTTCCAGCGACTCGGGAGAATTTCAGAACGATTCACTTGATAGCATTTCATCAAAAGATTCGGAAACAAAAACTCCTGTTGCGACAAGAAAAGCCGAGTCAAAACCATTGAGTGGAAATCAAGACCAAATGAGGACAAAACAATCGAGTTGTGAAGATATATTTGAGGGCCGTCGTCAAAGTTTTTCAAGTATAAAACTGAGCTTGAACGACTTGCAGACTGTGACCGAAGACAGACCGCCGAGTAGTAAGTCGTCACCAGTGATGCGAGCTCAATCGGCTCAAGCAAGCGACACAAGTACTAGTCGATTTTACCTCAAGAATTCTGATTCGGTTGTGTCGGGAATGGTGACTCTACCGAGAAAGAAACAGCCGGCGGTCAACAAATTGCAGGTAAATATCTTTTTTTGCTTAAACAACGAAGAAGCAAAATTCAAAATCAGAATTGCTGACAGAATTACAAAAAACTAATTCAGCCAAAAGTCATTTCTATCTGATGAACTTCAATATTTGTATTTACCAATCGATCAAAAAAGGAGGATTAATATAAGAAAGATGGAAAATTAATTTTCGATAGTTTCAGGAAATTTGTTTTCAAGTAAGTTGAACATATTTGTTTTGCGAAAAGCAATCTTCGGTTCCCCAAACATAAGTCAGAAACGGCGCCTGAAATTGCGCCTAAAATTAGCACCACATTGGTACTGAACAATCTTTAACATTTGGTGGTAAGCAAAATTTAAGGAGAACCCTAAGGAAGTATCTGCCTTCTTTCCTGTTCGTGGCAGTTGGAATGTGTAGCAAACCACATTAAAAATTTAAAAAAAAAACATTTTGTTTTCTCGAGCAAACAAGAATTGTCTTTTGCTCTGTAACTCACACAAAATGAACTGAATTGATAATAGTTATCCAGAACATTAAACATTTTAAAATAAAATGTACAGTTAAGCGTCTGTAACGGCTCTTGAAAAGAAGACAAGTAAGAAGGTGGATTATTACACAAAAAAAACTTCATAGCAAGATTCGTTATCTATTGAGTTAGAACCGATGTGGTTAACTCATAGAGTAATTTCGGATAGGGTACACCGTCTGCTCGTCACGCTATCTTATTTTCGGCCGGATAGATTCGTGCAACTTCTTAGTCTAATCTTACTCTTATACTTTCTAGTCTCAGGGTGTTTAACTAGTCTCTGCTAGGCTCAATAGATCTAGGGTATACTGGTTTGTTGCGGCTGCTGAAGTTCTATTGGAGAGACAACTAATTTCAAAGTTAAATTCAAATCTCTCTGGTGCTGAAATTACAAGTAATTTCAGCACTTACAAATAAGTGGGTTGTTAGTTAGATGGATTATGATTGGTTAATATTAAATATTTTACAGTGGTAAAATATCCAACTTATCCAATCATAAAATGTAGTTTAGGTCAGGTTCCACCCATCCGGGTTTTACAGGGTTTTTTAGAATTATCTTTCTGCAATTCAAAGGATGGATGATGAACGTTGGTATTTGGCAAACATCATATTCTTGTCCGGTTCCTCTTGTTAAAGAAGTTCGAGGACGC